TAAGCAAAAAGAACAAAGCTGGAGGAATCATAGTATCTGACTTCAAAATATACTACAAAGCTATAGTAACTGAAACAGCATGATAACAGTATAAAAATAGACACATAGACTCATGGAACAAAATAGAGAACCCAGAAATAAATCCACATATTTACAGTCAACTGATTCTCAACAAAGGTGCCAAGAACATACAGTGGAGAAAATATACCCTCTTCAATAAATGGTGCTGGGAAAATTGGATATCCTTAAGGAGAAGAATGGAACTAGACCGCTATCTCTCACCACATACAAAAATTAACTCAAAACGGATTAAAGACTTAAATTTAAGACCCAAAACTATAAACTACTAGAAGAAAACAGGGAAAGCACTTTAGGACATTGGTCTGGGCAAAGGTTTTATGGCTAAGACCTCGAAAACACAAATGACTAAAACAAAAATAGACAAATGGTACTATGTTAAACGAAATGGCTTCTTCACTGCATAGGAAACAATGAGCAGAGTGAAGAGACCTATTGAATGAGAGAAAATATTTGCAAAGTATTCATCCAACAAGGAACTAATATCCACAATTTACAAGAAATTCAAACAACTCAATAAAACCCAATTAATCTCATTAAACAGGGCAAAGAATATGAATAGATGTTTTTCAAAAGAAGACATATGAATGGCCAAGAGGTATATGAAAAATGCTCAACACCACAAATCATCAGGGAAATGCAAATCAAAAGCACAATGAGATATCATATAACCCCAGTTGAATGGCTACTATTAGAAAACCAAAAAATAACAGATGCTGGTGAGGATGCAGAGAAAAGAAAACTCTTATACGCTGTTGGCTATAATGTAAATTAGTACAGCCACTGTGAAAAACAATATGGTGATTTCTCAAAAAACTAAAAATAGAACTACCATAAAATCCAGCCATCCCAGTAGTGGATATTTATACAAAGGAAAAGAAATCAGGTATTAAAGGGATACCTGGATTCCCTTATCTATTGCAGCACTATTCACAATAGCAAAGATAAGGAACCAATCTAAGTGTTCATCAATGGACAAATGGATAAAGAAAGGTCCATATACACAATGGAATACTACTTGGCCATAAAAAAGAATGAAATCATGTCATTTGCAGCAACATGGATGAAACTGGAAGTCATTACATTAAATGAAATAAACCAGGCAAAGAAAGACAAATGCTGCATGCTCCCACTCGTATGTGGGAGCTAAAAAGCCTGATCTCATGAAGATAGAAAACAGAATGACAGATACCAGAAGCTAGGAAGGGTGTGACAGTGGGAGGGAGAGATGAAGAGAGGTTGGTGAATGGGTACAGACATACAGTTAGAAGTAAGTTCTAATGGCCAATAGCAGACTAGGATGACTATAGTTAGCAAGAATATATTGTATATTTCAAAGTAGTTAGAAGCCAGGTCTTGAAATGATACCAACACATAGAAAGGATAAATACTCAAGGTGATGAATACCCCAAATACCCCAAATGATCAAATACTTGATCATTCCACATTCTATGCATGTATAAACAACTCACATGTACCCCATAAATGTGTAAAATATTACATATCGATAAAAGAAATGTGAGCTAAGAAATGCAGCTCTAGAGACTGGAAAAGATAAGAAAATGGATTTTCTTCTTGAGCCTCCAAAGGCATGATCCTGCTGACCCCTTGACTTTGGACCAGGGAAACTTATTTTGGACTTCTGGCCACCAGAACTGTAAGGGAAAAAATGTGTGTTGTTTTAAGATGCCACATTCATGGTATCTTACAGCAATTACAGGAAACTAATACAAAAGGTTCATGCAACCTGATTTCAAGTTCTTACTCTAAAGCTACAATAATCAGTAGAGTTTGGCACTGGCATAAGGATAGGCACATATATTAGTGGAACAAAATAGAGTCCTGAAATAAGCCCACACAACTGATTTTTGATAAAGAAATCAAGGTAATTCAATGGGGGAAAGGAAAGTCTTTTCAACAAATGGTTCTGGAACAACGGGATAATATACAGGAAAAAATGGACCTCAACCCCTACTTCACCCCATATACAGAAATTAATTTGACATAGATTATAGACCTGGAAGTAAAAGCTAAACTACAAACCTTCTAGAAGAAAAATATAGAAAGATTGTCAAGATCATAGCATAAGCAAATATTTCTTAAAGATGACACAAAAAGCAATAATCACAAAATTAAAAAGTTAGACTTCATTAATATAAAAAAAGCAAGTCATAGACTGGGAGAAAATATTTGCAAATCATATATCTGAGAAATAACTTGTATCCAGAAGATATAAAGAAGTACATATCAGTACCAAAAAGGAAAACATTCTAATCCTAAAATAGGCATAAAACTTGAATAGACACTTCACAAAAGAAGATATGGCAATGGCCAATAAGCTCATGAAAGGTGTTCGACCTCATTAGTCATGAAGAAAATGTAAAGCCACAGTCAAATACAAGTTCACATCCACTGGAATAGCTAAAATCAGAAAGAGCTACAGACAACAAATATTGGGGAGGAAATGGAGTGTACAGTCTCTTGGAGGAGCATACAATCTCTTGGGGGACAGCCTGGTGACTTCTCATAAAATTAAACTTACACTCTATGACCCAGCAATTCTGCTCCTAGTTTTGACCCAAGAGAAATGAAAACATGTGTCTACAAAAAGACTTAAGACAGCTTACAGCAGTGTTATTCATAATAGCCCAAAGCTGGAAACCATCCAAATGTCTATCAACAGGTAAGTGGATAAACAAATTGTGGTAAAGCCATATAATGGAATGCTACTCAGTAACAGAAAGAAAAACCCCTGATACACACAACCGCATGGATGGATCTCAAATGCATGATGTTTAGTGGGAGAAGTCAATTAGAGACCATATCGTGTGACTCTGTGCAGTTGAGAAGTTCAAGAACAGGAAACACTAGCCTCTGGTGCTAGAAATCAGAGTGCTGGTGCTGATATGGATGGGAAATGACTGGAAGGGAGTGTGGGGGGACTTCCAGTATGACAGGAACATTCTGTATCTTGAGGCAGGTGCTGGTTGCACAGTTGTATGCATTTGTCAAAAGTCATTGTTTTGAATACTAGTGATCTGGGCATTTCACTGTAAGTAAACTTTACCTATGACGGAACACTACTCAGCCATAAAAAGGAATGAATTAACAGCATTTGCAGTGACCTGGATGAAATTGGAGACTCTTCTAAGTGAAGTAACTCAGGAACGGAAAACCAAACATCATATGTTCTCACTGATATGTGGGAGCTAAGCTGTGAGGATGCAAAGATGTAAGAATGATACAATGGACTTTGGGAACTTGTGGGGAAGAGTGGGAGGTGGTCAAGGGATAAAAGACCACAAATAGGGTGTAGTGTATACTGCTCGGGTGATGGGTGCACCAAAATCTCACAAATCACCACTAAAGGACTTAGTAACCAAATACCAACTGTGCCCCAATAACGTATGGGAAAAAATCTCTAAAACTGTAAACAAACAAAAACAGAAGCAGGTGTGGGTGGCACCAGGAGGAAAGGGCCAGTCAACAGAATTGTTTCACTGGGAGATGACAGGGCCATATCATGGCAGGTGGGGTGACGAGTGGGTGTCACGGATACAGGGAGGAATTTTAAGCCTAGAGTGCCACTCCCTGAGCATAGTTCCATGGGGTGGGGGGTGGGGGAAGGTGATTGGTGGGACCAGACAGCAGAGGAGAGAAGGCAGGTGTCTCAGACATGAGGCGTCAGTCGCCATGCCAGATTTCCAGGTGGGAGCAATTTGGAAGCCCAGACCTCTGGATGCTGGCCCCTGCTGAAAATCTGGGGATTCTTCCTTTGGGGCATGGAGGACCAAGGCAGCTGAATTGATGGCTTGGGCAAAGTGCAGGGGAGGGGCCTGCTGAGGACACTGGAGGCTGGAAGGGAGGGTGGCAGGGTGCCCTCATGGAGAAGGCCCTCCAGAGGGGAAGGTCAGTAGTTGGGGCAGGGTCAGCAGAGGACAGGAGGGGTACCTGGGGGCACCTAGGGCTGCCTGGCCACCAGCACAAGGTGATGAGGAGCAGCAGATGCTGGGGAGCAAGGAAAGGAGGAAAAGGAGGAGAGAGGCTCATTTGTTTTGTTTGCAGTTTAGGACAGGGGAGACCTGGGTATGTTAAAGATCCAGGAGAAGTCCACAGAAAGAGGCGATGATTAGCTACTATATGGAGTGCCTCTATTTGACCCTCGGACCATCCACCCTGGAGTAGTTGATCATGTTGCTCTCATGATTTAATCATGTTGGACTGCATTTTGAACTGGGCTGTGTAATTAGCACGTACATCCTAGTCAGTCACTCTTTTTTTTTTTTTTTTTTAGGAGTCTCGCTCTGTTGCCCAGGCTGGAGTGCAGAGGTGTGATCTCTGTTCACTGCAACCTCTGCCTCCTGGGTTCAAGCAATTCTCCTGTTTCAGTCTCCCAAGTAGCTGGGATTACAGGCACACACCGCCACGCCTGGCTGATTTTTGTATTTTTAGTAGAAACGGGGTTTCACCGTGTTGGTCAGGCTGGTCTTGAACTCCTGACCTCAATTGATCTGGCCGCCTCGGCCTCCCAAAGAGTTGGGATTACAGGTGTGAACCACCTAACTGGCCATTCACTCTCATTTACCAAATAACCAAGCAATCAAGCCTCTGTAAAGTGAAATTCCCACAAATTATTTTTAATGACATCCTTTCACGTTTTCCTACACTTTTTCAATAAGTGGATTTCTTTTAACTCCCTGAACAGAGAACCCCGGGGCACAGGAGGGAGTGGCCAGCCGTGCTCACTGTCCCGCTGACCCAGGCCAGGCAGGCAGGTCATCAGGTGCTGGCCTGTCCCTAGGGGGCAGCAGTGGCAGCACGGATCCCTGGAAATCTTGTTCAGGCCACCAGTGGCTCCAGACCCCAAATCCCTCTCTCGGGGAGCAACCTGCACAGCCTGGCATGGTAAGTTGTATCCTCACCTGTCATTGGCGACGGGCAGGGCGATCTCAAACTTGGCCAGGAACTGGAAGTACTGCTCTTCCGTCTGCTGTGTGAAGCCAGTCCCCACCAGCAGCATCCTGAGGTCTTCTGCTCTGATCACCCCATTCTTGGCCACTGACCGGGAGCCCTTAATGTTAAAGATCCTCTGCAGACATTCGGACAGCCAAATAGGGTCGAGGAAGTAGAGGTTCCTCAGGCCGTGGCTGGTGTCTGGGAAGTGTAGCAGGGTGCCAGTTTCTATGAGGAAGCTGATAGCTGCCCCAGGCAAGGAGAGGAGAAAGCAGTAGTTAGACAAAGGAGCGAAAGGGACTCTGGGGTGGCCTTCTTTCCAAGGGGACCCAGGTCACAAATTCTTCCTAGGAAGAAACCAACATGCCCCACATGCTGGACCCTTCAGGCGGGTTGGCAGCCTGATCACAGGTGCCCTGGTGGCCCCTGGTAACTCTTGCCAAAGTCCTAGGCTAATGGCCACCTCGGTAACTACAGTTGATCCTCATTATTTGTGGATTCCGCCTTTGCAAATTTGCCTTCTTACTAAAATTTATCTGCGACCCCCAAATCAATGCTCCTGTGGTTATTTGCAGACATGTGCTGAGTGGTGAAAAGTTTGCATTGACCAATGTGCACATTCCCAGCGGAGGCTGAACAGGGCAACACTCTCAACTCTGGTGCTGAAAACAGGGGCCTGCTTAGTGGTCTATGTCAGTGCCATGGTTTTTGAATTTTTGTGTTTTTTGTTGATGCTTTCACTGTTTAAAATGGTCCCAAGTGAAGTGCTGAAGCGCTGTGTAGTTCCCTAAGCGTGAGAAGGCTGCGATGTGCCTTATGGAGAAAACCTGTGTGTTTAAGTTTTGTTCAGGAATGAGCAACAGTACTGTTAACCATGAGTTCAATGCCAACAAATCAACACTATATATTAAGTACAGTGTCTTTAAGCAGCAACACACATAAAACAAGGTTCTGTATTGATGGGCTGATGAGAATGTTCTGACCAGAGGCTTGCAGGAGCTGAACCCTGCGTCTCTCCTAGGAGCACTGGTTTAGTATTTGCTATTTCAGTGATCATGGTGACTTTACAGAACATAAGTCCTGTGGCTAATGAGAATCGATTGTAACTGTTTGACCTCTGTCTCCCTGACTGAACGTCAGTCCTGGAGGGCATGGACCAGTCCATCAGTTTATATGTCTGCCCTTGTGGCCAATACAATGCTGGTGTAAAGTAGCTGTTTGTGTTCTCTATCTCCAAGGAAAGAAGGGTGAGAGGGAAGAAGGAAGGGGAGGGGGATGGAAGACAGAAACACGGGCTGATTATTGGTCTCTCATTCATTGCTGAGGGCCAAGCTGAAGTACAGACAGTTGCATTTCTCACGGGCACCCTGCCGCCCACCCCAGCCCCACCCACCCGACTGCAGGTCCTCGTAGTCTTTGATGTCATTGTCGGGCGTCTGCTCCACCAGCTGCTCCAGCTGCCTGTCCGTCAGGTACTGCACGTCGTCGTCCAGGCTGCGGCGCTGCTGCTCTGCCAGCACGGCCTCCTGCAGACTCAGGTAGCTCCTGGGGATCTGGGGGACAGATGGACGAGGCAAGTCCCGAGGCATGCCCACCAGCTGGGGCAGATCCTGCCTGGCCCCTGTGGCCTGAGTGGGTGGGACATTTCCAGCCACTATCTTCCATCCTGATCCTCCCTCACCAGGAACCACTGAGCCTTGCCACATGGACATGGGCTTCACAGGAGAGAGGGGAAGTGAGGATCCCCAACAATGGGAAGCAGGCCTACTGGTTTAAGCTGGATGAGCGAGGTACCCACCAGCCTCCCTGCCAGTCGCTGGCAGCCGATGGTGCTGCCCACGTCCTTCATGCTGCACGTGACGTGGAAGATCAGCTGCCGCAGCCCTTCCTGGCCTTCCAGGCTCTTGCAGGAAATCTCACTGTGTGCAAAAAGACCCGTCTTTACTCATCGTGCCCCACTCCGAGGAAGTGCTGCAGCTTCTCTGTTTTCCCAAGAGGTTTGTCCTGAATGCTGGCAAGTCTGGAGAACTCATGAAAGACAACACAAGAAGTTTACTGAGGCCTTGCTTTGTGCAAATCACTGTGCTGGGTGCCCCACACTGTCGCTTTAGTCTGTCTTCCTAGACTAAACATGGCACTTCACAGAGAAGGAAAGTGAGGTGCAGAGGTACATTGAGACCCCCAAGGGCACAAGCTGGGCAGGCAAAGGCTCACGCAGGCTGGTCTCAGGTTCTGACCCAGAGCCAGGGCTCCTCTTATCACAGACCCTATGGGACTTTCTCAAGGTCAAAGCAATAATTCCCGACAGTCTCATCCCGTATTCTGAGCCAGGCCAATGTGTCCGAGGCTGACCCACGCACCAATACCCGTGACGCTCCACCCCGGGCGAGGGAATCTGAGAGCCGCCAGGGCAGCTAATGCAATGTGCAGTATATTTTACTCCCATTAGGGCACACAATTTGCTGAACCTCAGCTTCTTCATCTACAAGGTGGCAAACAATCCCCACAACCAGTGACAGGAGGTCAGCCCAGGGCAATTGAACTTATCTGCATGGACACGTCGTGATGCCCACCTGAAAGCCCCTCCCAACTCTTGGCCTTTTTTAACTCAAAGGCTGCTATCAGGACCACTCAGACCAAAGGCAAGGGATAGGTCCTCCCTCCCCAGCGTCTGTCCTTGATCAGTGATCAAAAAATGAGATGGGCAGCAATTGGACAAGTGGTGCCCACGTTCAGTCACCTGGTTCAATGGGCACCATGCAGTTTCAGCACTGGCCCTTGGGGCGGGGACAGGGCAGAAAGGAAGCAAAGAGGGGGCATCTCCAGGCCTCACCCAGCCAGCCGTCTGGTAGGTCTTCACCCTCTCCAAGGCTGGGTCAGCTCTGTGGACTGCCCCCCTTGGCCAGGGAAGGGGCCTAGCCCCACCCAGCCTCAGGAGCTCTCTGTAAGCAGATCCCAGGAAAGATCAGCGACTGGCACCCACATGAAGGCGGGAGCTGCTAGAGGCTGGGCACTCACTGTAAGTGTTTGAAGGTGATGTCTGGGAAGCCTGTGGCCCTGGAGCCGGAGGGGGAGCGGCAGAGCGCCAGCACATAGGCACGCAGCGTTGCAATCCTTTCCACACGGAACTTGGCTTCAATTAAATCCAGGTGTGTCCCGACCACCAGCACCACGGCATTTGGGGCCTTGGCCTGCAACAGAGAACCCCACGTCTGAGTATCGTCTCTGTTCACTGAACAAGGGACAGGACAGAGCTCCCAGCTGTGCTGACCCTGGATGTCACAGCCCTTGCTCAGCCACCAATCTGCAGCCTTGAGATGGTTTGGATGTTTTTCTCCTCCAAATCTTATGTTGAAATGTGATCCCCAGTGTTGGAGGTGAGGCCTGATGGGAGGTTGGGTCATGGAGGTAGATCCCTCATGAATGGCTTGGTGCCCTCCTGCAGTAATGAATGCATTCACCCTATGTCAGTTCACAGAGGAGCTGATTGTGAAAAGGAGCCTGGCTCTTCCTCCTCTCTCTCCTGCTCCCTCTCTCACCATGTAACATGCTGGCTCTCCTTCTCTTCTGCCATGACTAAAAACTTCCTGAGGCCTAACCAAAAGCCAAGCAGATGCTGAAGCCATGCTTGTATAGTCTGTGGAACTGTGAGCCAAATAAACCTCTTTTCTTCATAAATTACTCAGTCTCAGTCATTCCTTTATAGTAATGCAAAACAGATTGCTATAGGAATGTCAGCCCAGGCAGCACGTGTGCTCCTCATTCTCTGTAAACCCCGAGGGACTGTTGCATTGAGGGGTGTCTATGGTGTTCTGTGACATCCTCTGCAGAGGGTGCTGAGTTGGACTTGTGAGGAGGGATTTCCGACCCTTCAGACATGACAGCAGCCATCAGAGTCAGGGAGACAAGGACATCTTTATAACGGGAAGAGAACCCTGCTCCCCTTTGGATCCAAGGGTGGGGGTTACTAAATTTAAGGAAAGCAGGGAAATTATAAGAGCGCCACCAGCCCTCAGCAGAGAAAGGTTTCAAGTGCCTCATTGCGAAAAGCAAGCAGGACCACGGTTCTGGGGACCTCCGTGGAACGTAGCTCCTTTTTTTCTCAGTAGAGGGGATGCTTGAGAAAAGCAGTCAGATCTGCGAAGCTCTGGGAACCGAAATGGCGGGGCTGGCGTCTGGTGTCCTCACCTCGATGTTGAGCAGCCAGAACTGGAGGTTGGCCACGGCCTCCTCCCCCAGTGCCAGGTTCCAGACCACCACGTACAGGGCCTTGTCTGTGAAGAAGCACTGGTTGACAGTGGCCATGCTGGCCGGTCCCCCGATGTCCCAGACGTTGAACTCCACAGACTCAACCTACTTGAGCAACAGGGCAGTGACAGGGAGGCATTTTAGAGACAAAGGCTTCAGTCAATCAAAGAGAGACAACTGATAACTCTGGAAGCTGTACTTGGGGGTCTGAAAAAAAAAACAACCGTGGAAAAGTTCTGGACACCCTATAGTTTCTTAGGAAGCAGTTATCGGGGCGAGGGACAGGGGCCCAGTGGCATGGAAGTGGGACTTCTGTCTACTCCTAGCAGAGCAGAGGCCAGGCCCTGGACAGACGTCAGAGGGCCTGGCTCCGTCTGGCCTGCAGATGAGTAGGGGATGCCCTGTGGGAGGAAGCTGTGCTCTGATGTCATGGCTTGCACTGGTGTTCAGCCTCCCTGTGTGCCAGGGCAAGAGGAGGAGATGGGCCTCTGAACTTGTGGGGGTCAGAGGTTGGCGCCCACCAAGGATGCTGGGAAACTCCCTCCCACCCTGTGGGAATCAAACAAAAGATGAGCTGTCAGGCTGCCGGGAACGGCTGTGTAAACGGTGGTTTCTCTATCATTGCATGAGGTAAGAGTCTGGCCCTGGAAGCTAAGGCTGCAGTTTTCTACAGCAAGGAGTCATCTCTGTGAGGCAGCGTCAGCCTCCAAGACACAGCGTGCTGACCTGGTTTTGTATAAAGATGAAAACAGCTATTCTCAACAAGCTAAGGCCGGCCACGCAGAGAGCTGCGGGCTCAGCCTTCACAGGATCGTCCTTCCACTAAAGGGTGGGGGACCTTTAATCATCACAGAAAGGAAGTGGGGGCTGAAGGTCAGGAAAAATAGAAGCATGAATTCACCTCTCAGGCCTCAGCTAGAGGAAGCTAAGACAAGAAATGGGATTACGTAATTGTTAAGAAAAAGGCAAAGCAGGAGAGAATGCAGAGGATTCTGGTTCCTGGAGAGAACCTTCAGACTGAGTCAGCTAGATTTGCTCTTGGAATGTTCTAGGATTGGCCTGGCATTGATTGTCGTGTTTGACTGTTCTGGCCCCAACAGGCAGCGCTTCATCCTTTAGAGGATCAACGTCTGAGTCCATGTTAGAATAGATGCACAGCTTAAATGCCTACTTTCTCAAACCAGGTTTGGAAAGGGGTTGTGTGAGGAAGACGCTGGCACTGCGCATGGGAGCTTTGGGGGAAAATCATGGAACATCTGGATCTCAAGCCTCCTCAGTTTTCCACAATGAAGCAGCCTCCTTGCTCCTTGGATCCTGAGAAACCACAGGGTGGCAGAAATCCAAATACAGTTGATGAGGATGGCCTTATGTATGTGTGTTCGTTCCCCGAGCTCAGAGAAAGGGCTAACTGCCCCTGCTCTATTCCAGGGATGGAGTTCCCACCATAGTCTGTGGGCTCTTTTCTCTGTTTCATGAACAGGAAAATGTTCATTTCCATTTGCCTGGCACTGAATGGAAAGCAGGATGATTAAGAGGTTTATGGATGGATTCAATTTTTTTTTTTTTTTTTTTTTTTTGGAACAGAGTCTTGCTCTGTCACCAGGCTGGAGTGCAGAGGCATGATCTTGGCTCACTGCAACCTCCACCTCCTGGGTTCAAGCAGTGATGGATTCATTTTAAGTAGGGCTTAGAAACAGGACTTTTCAGAATCTGGGGTGAAAGCAGGTGTCAGGGAGGGCAGGGCAGTAAGTCCCGGAGTGCTTTTAGCCTCCTCGGGGTGCGCAGGGGGCGGGGGCAGATGCTGGTGTGTTTCACTGCCTGCAACAGTGGTTAGCTCTCAGTCCTGGGGGTGCCTTACCCCAGACCACTTGAACTTGAATCCTTGGGGTCAGAGAGCAGTGAGGTGAGGCCTGGGAATTGCTATCTTTAAAAGCCTCTCAAGGGAATCTAATGGACAGCCAGGGTTAAGAAACACTGTGCCAGAACCTCAAGTAACTATAACAGAAACACACAGGGTGGGAGGATCGCTTAATCTTCCCACCCTGTTATAGTTACTTGAGGGGAAGTTGAGGATGCATCCAGCCTGAGTGACAGAGTGAAACTCTGTCTCAAAAAAAAACAAAAAAAAAAAAAGAAAAAAAAGAAAAGAAAAAGAAAAAACCACAAGGTCACATTAAGAAATGATTCGCTGCTCTTGGCAGAAGCTGGTATGGAACAGTACACAGTGGCTCCTGCAAAGGTCCTGAGCTTTGGACACTAGGCCAAGAAAATCCTGGGCTCTCTGGGGAGAAGGCAGAAGGAGTCCAAGGGGTGTCCCTCCCACCCACAGGGAGTCTGCACGCCGACCATCCTTGACCTTGGCTCTCGAGCCAGCCGGCCTCTGGAGCTCCCACTTGGTGGTCCTGATGGTGGCCTCTCCGTGCACCACCTGGGGGGCCCTCCCCGTCTGTAAGATCTCCAGGAGGGTGGACTTGCCCTGGCGCGGGGGGCCCACGATGATCATCTTCATCAGCTTGCACTTCTCTGCTTTCCGCAGCTGAGCACGCAGGTAACACAGCATTGCTTTGGGGCCTGTGCAGAATCATTATGGGGAAGGGTAGCTGTGTGGGAACGTGCTTACATCTCTTAGGACACAAATCCTGTTGTGAAGGAACTCTTTCTTTGTGTTTTAGTGGGGACAGTTAAGGAAGACTGCTGGATCAGGTGGAGGGAAGGCGTGACACTAATGACCCCAAAAGTCAACTCTAAAAGGCAAGAACCTATGGACAAAGACCTTGCTGCCTAGGAGGTCACAGTTTTATCACCTGGTCCTTCTGAATATAGTGACCCTCAGTAACGATTGCTTTAGGGGCAATTTTATAGCATCTTGCCAAACCTGGAACCTGGACCTGGGCTCCATGGGTCACCAACTATTTCCACCCCCAGAACTTAACAAGTGGACTGGAGTTGCCTTTCCAAGCAGGTGATGGCAGGGGACAGGGCTGCGGAAGCCCTACCTTCTTTTCGGATTTCTGCAGGCACATTGCTGATGGTCAGGTCTTCAGTGTCCAGCTGCCAGAGGTTGCTCAGCTGCCCCAGCTCAGGAGGGAGCTCCCGGAGGCCAGGGTTGCTGAAGACAGATGTGCTCACCACGAGATAATACATACACACACATACACACACACGCACACACACACACACGTGGCTCCTGTCAGCCTCTGCAGCCTGCATCCCAGACCCCATACTTTGGGCCCTGATTTCAACACTAATTCCAAAGCCTTTCTCCTGGAGCGTCAGTGGTAGAAAGGGCAGCTCTGTCTTCTGCAAATCCCCATGGCTTAGAATTGAGTCCCCTCCCCCAGCTTTCCTGTCTCTGCTACTAATTACATCACCATAAAGATGATCACTACCTCTTCTTGAAAAGGCGATGTCACTTTAATATTAATATAACGTTTTACATTCTCATCAAGCTTTGCACACTGCTTAGAACCCCTGGCAGTAGCTGGCATGCAATGGGAGCTCAGTAATGAAAGGATGAATGATTGAGTGGTTCTCCTTATCACAGCCCGAGTGATGTAGCAAAAGTGTGTCTCATTGCATCGCTACTCCATCTTCCTCTCTCCCCACCTCCTTGATCAAGCCCTGTTCTGAAAATCCTACTACTGCTTCTTGGAAAGTAGATGGCTTCTTTCTGCCTGGCTTTCTGTGTCCCAGTTGGTTTAGGGATGGGTGTTCTGCCTCTCTGGGCCAGCAGAGCCAGCACGGCCCCTCCAGATGTGTACTTACTTTCCCAAGTAGAGCTCTGATAAGCTCTTCAGTAGGTAAACCGAGGGAGGGACTGCATCGAGGTGGTTGTCGTTCAGGCAAAGGACTTCCAAAGACTCACTTAGGAAGGCCGGAAATTCCAGCACACATGCTGCAAAGACAGGGCAAAGCAGATTGCATTTAAAAATAATTTTGGGCCATCACACCGTGGTGACCAGGTGGGTGTATAAATGGATGCAACCTCCAGAGGGCATTTTGGCAAACCTATCAAAACAAAATGCTTACCTCATCGACCTAGCAATTCTCATTCTACAGACAGCCTTACATGCATGTGTGGCAAAGATGTGAGAATGAGGACACTCAGTGGCAGAGATAGAGGACAATCTATGACAACCTATGTGTCCAGCCACAGAGGGTTGGTTCAATGAGTAATAGAATAATTGCAGCTATTACAAAGCATGGGGCAGGTCTACACGTATGGCGGTATGAAGTGATACTCAAGAGCTACCCATCAATTGAAAAGGCAAGGTGCTCCAGGCATGGTGGCTCACACCTGTAATCCCAGCACTTTGGGAGGCCGAGGCAGGGGGATCACGAAGTCAGGAGTTCAAGACCAGGCTGGCCAAGATGGTGAAACTCTATCTCTACTAAAGTTACAAAAATTAGCTGGGCGTGGTGGTGGGCACCTGTAATCCCAGCAACTCGGGAGGCTGAGGCAGGAGAATTGCTTGAACCTGGGAGGAGGAGGTTGCAGTGAATCGAGATTGTGCTGCTGCACTCCAGCCTGGGAAACAGAGCAAGACTCCATCTAAAAAAAAATAGTTCAGAACCGGATATCTAGAAGGCTTATTACTGTACCAGAAAATGTCTGCACACATGCATGCACACACATGCACACCATGTATATTTTATATACACACACACCACACCTGCACATGTGTATGCATATAGGTTACATACAGTTGTTAGACAGGAACACAATGGTTACCAGAGATGCACTGAATTCTATAGTTGTCTCTGGGGAAAGGAATTACTAGAGGACTGAATATTTACCCCATGCCCTTTGCTACTGTTCAAAAATGGTGTTTTAAAATATACATGCATTGCTTTTTCCATGAAAAAAAGCTAGTTAATGAAAATATACCACAGTTGGCTATTTTTATGCTTCTTAAGATGACATTCTTTGAAAAACCAGCCAACTGTTTAGTATTTAAGTGACTTTATTAATTAGGCTAACTATGAGATTACCATGAAAATCATGTCAAATGTGCTGTTTCCACGGGCACCAGAGCATTTGAGTTGAGAAAGAGCTTGGAAACGCACACTGATGGGAATCAGAGGTTTGGATTTCAGCAGAATCTCTGAAGTGCCTTTATCCTCTCTACTAAGGCCTGGAGAGCGGGGAGGACAGCATGCCTGGGAGCTCAGAGAATTCAAGATAAAACAACTGCCTCAAAGCCCTCTCATAGGGTTCCCTGCCAGACACGGAAAATGGAGAAGCCAGGATTCTTTTGTTGGGCTGAAACCAGGCTCGGTTGCCCTTAATCATAGCTACCCTGCCTTGGCTCTGGATTTCCTCCACACATGTAGCTGCAATAACAATGGTAATGGGTAACCTGGCCTCCAAGAACATTCAGGGAGAGCCGATAATGGAATACCAAAACCAACGCCTGGAAAATCTGCCCAGTTAGCTGCACTGTGAATGGAACTCACTGCAGGGGCCCCTGCGGAAATGAAGGTGCACCAGCCTTCTAAAGATGGCTTTGTATGAGTCCTTGTTAGGTAAGGAAATGTTCAAAAAGCTTCCTTTTTTTTTTTTTTTCTTCAGTGAAAAAAGATGATCAATATTAGCCTGCCCTAATTCACATTTTCATGAAAGAACATCAATAACGAGAAAGGCTTACTTTCTCCCCAGAGAACACATTCTAAACACCTGGCCTCTGTGCTTTCCAATTTTAAAGTTTTGCTACGGTGTTTATGAAGCCTCTTTAGGTAAGAGACGGGTGAAATAATGAGCTATGATTGCAGAGGCAACACCTGTAACAGACCTCCCGGCCCAGTGTCGAAAATGATGGGCACTGGGCTGGGGAGAACACAGTTCGGGGTATTTATGAACTGTAATTATTTATTCATAAGTTATTTATGACTCTGCTGGTCTGATTTTTACCGTAAAAACGGCCATCCAAATTATTTTTGGATGAGGCCACTGCACAAATATGACTACTTGAATGTACATAAATCTACTTGGAATTTTACTATCCTTCTGCAAACAAGCTGTCTTTTATAGATAATTCCTTACTCAAGGGTCCATGGCCCTGAGAGAATAACCCTACTGAAGAAAAGGGTTTGCAAACAGCCTCCTTCTTTTCACTCAGGTGTGGACCTCAACTTTCTAGATGAAGTTTAAAGAATCAAGAGGCTTTTGTCATCTGCCAAAGCCAAGATTCACCTCTGCCAGAGAACCTCCCGGGGGCGCGGCCCCCTCACGTGGCTCCCCAGACATCCTCCTGCGGGCTGCCAGCTGTCATTTTCTGGAACATTGGTACTGCGCATGCTCCTATGGTGCTTTTCCATGCTTGCCCGTGACTTTCCCCTCTGGCGTCTCATTGAGTGCTGAGCCCACTTCCTTGCACACTCCTCCGTGGTCCCGGGAAGGATTCGGCATTTCTAAGTTGGAGACACGTTTCTAATCCACACAAATGGATTGCGTGAACGAGGTCTACACTAGCTCCTGTTCTCATACCCATCATCCTGTCTGGCATGAAGAAGACGGTGTTCGTTTCCCCTTCCTTCCAAGTGAAATCCCAATGTCTGGACTCAATTTCTAAAGTCCTAAGGCCCTTCATTTATAAAAGGATCAGTTATGAAATTCATAATTGCATTTCCCTATTCATGTGGTTAAGGACATTTTCATTTGTTTCCTGGCCCTCTGGACTTCCTTTTCTGCAAATTGTTTATATTCCTTGGCCATTTTTTTGCCTATTGTGTTGTCTTTTTTTTTTTAAATCAATTTGTAAGCATTCTTTGTATATTAAGGACTTAAGCCAATTCGTGTTGCAACAATTTGTGTTGCAAATATTTCTTCTTAGTCTGTTTGCATTATGACTTTGTTTATGATGCTTCCCACTGCACACAATTTTTGAATGTTTATGAAGCCAACGATTTTAGTCTTTTTAAAAAATTATTCATGGATTTTCCAACTAGATTTTAAAGATCTCCCTCATAGCCAAATTATACCTATATTCCTTAAATGTTATTGTTTTCTTTTTTTTATACTTAAACCTTCTACCACATAGACATTTTTGTAATCTAGTGTCGTGTTTTGTCCCCCTTCCAGGCAGGAATACCAACACCATTTATTAAAGCAAGCAAGCATCCTTTTACACTAAGTTGAAATTCTGTCTTTGTCATATATTATATAATAATAGTCCCCAATCTTTTTGGCACCAGGGACCGGTTTTGCGGAAGACAATTTTTCCATGGACTGCAGCACTGATGAAGGGGATGGTTTAGGGATGAAACTGTTCAACCTCAGATCATCAGGCGTTAGTTAGATTCTCATAAGGAGGGCACAACCTAGATCCCTCACACGTGCAGTTCACAATAGGGTTCGCGCTTCTATGAGAATCTAACGCTGCCGCTGATCTGACAGGAAGTGGAGCTAATGCTGACTTGCCCACCGCTCACCTCCTGCTGTGTGGCCTGGTTCCTAACAGGCCACGGACCCATACCGGTTCGCTGCCTGGGGGGCGCTGGGGACTCCTGATATATTTCTATATTTACTTAGGTCTATTTTTGAACTCTTTTATCTGTTCCACTGATATTCCTTTTTCAGTCACATATAAACACACATGCTCTTATGGGACAGATCTCTATGTGTATCATACTCAACACACAAGCACACCAGTTCATCCAAGAGCGTAGCAGTGGCAGACTCCCTAGTTCACCTCTTGCAAATGTGTCCTCGCCTCTGTGGCGTCGCTCATCCCTACCTCACACTGTCCGTACTTGCCAACAGCCATCTATCAAACTGAAGAAGAAAGCTGTATTATGTTTAAAACGACTTGGACATGGGTTCTGGTTTTCTGGGCCAGCATCCTGAGGGATATTTCTGTGAACGGAGCTGGCTTTGGAAGTCGTAGCTTTGAGGTTAAGAAGCAGAGCTGGTTGTTTAATGAAAGGGACAGCTCCATACTTTCCCCTGCGTCTCACAGAAGATAATGGAACTAAAAGAGCTTGTTTCCCTAGATGTACTCTGTGCTGAACTGGCCTTGTTGTGTGACCAGCACAAAAACTAGGAAAATTTCTGTCTCTGATGAGTTTTGGGGAAGACCACAAGCCCCTGTGCAACCTCGGCCTCAACTCAGCCTGTGAGGCCAAAGGTGGCCGTGATCCATGTGGGCTTTGCAAGATGCCATCGTGTGTCAATAGAGACTTAACAGCACGGAGCTGCTGGTCCAGGGCTGAAGTCCCACAGTCCTGGGATGAAACCTGGCTTTGCTACTGAGAAGCAGCCACACGACCTGGGACAAATCAGTCAGTCCCTATGCCAGGGATTGAACTGTGTCCCCTGCCCCCCACCAAATTCATATGTCAAAGCTCTAATACCCAATGTGACACTATTTGGAGATGGGCTATTTGAGCTGTAATTAGGTTTAGATGAGGTCATGAGGGTGGGGCCCATATGATAAGATTAACGTTCTTATAAGAAGAGGGGCCAAGGGCGGTGGCTCATGCCTGTAATCCCAGCACTTTGGGAGGCCAAGGCAGGCAGATCACTTGAGGTCAGGAGTTCAAGACCAGCCTGGCCAACATGGTGAAGCCCTGGATATCTGAGAGGAGGGCGCCAGCACTGTCAGGGGCTAGCAAGGGCCTTCTTCCTGGCATCCTATATTGTATTAAAATACAAAATTATTATTTGGAGATGGGATATTTGAGCTGTAATTAGGTTTAGATGAGGTCATGTGGGTGGGGCCCCTATGATGAGATTAACATTCTT